CTCATCCCTGCTCAAAACTGTTTTGTGGCTCCCCACTGCCCTCAGGGCCAAGGGCAAACTTCTTATTCTTACCATGTCCTCTAGGGCCCAAAGCTGTCTCCAGCTCTCACTTCATGCCTGAATTTCAGCTTTGGAAGCTCCCTGTCCTCCTAGATGTTTCTCTCCAGGGGTCCCCAAGCCCCTCACGCCCACCATGTCCTCAACTGTCCTTAGCAGCTCTCCCAAACCTGCTGCTCTTCTGGGTCCCCATTTCAAGGACAGCTATCCTATTCATCCTATGGGTCTCAGCCTATGTGTCACTTCTTTCAGAAAGCACCCCCCCCCCCCCCACCGCCCTGACTCCCCTGGAGTCCTGGGCATCGTCCTGGACCCTCCACAGCTTGTCCACTTGGCATCCTGAAGGTCTCTCCCACACACACCCTTTTTCTCCCCTCCACAGCCTCGACCTGCCCTCTGGGATCGAGGGATGCCACTCCCACTGGGATCCCCACTCCCGCCACCTCCCTTGGTTCCCAATCTCTATCCAACCCTTTTAGTCCCCCTCCATCTGAATGGAAAATTGTTCCTTTCCCGCTCAAAAACCTATGCCCCGGGGCGCCTGGGTGGCGCAGTCGGTTAAGCGTCCGACTTCAACCAGGTCACGATCTCACGGTCCGTGAGTTCGAGCCCCGCGTCGGGCTCTGGGCTGATGGCTCAGAGCCAGGGTTCCAATAGTCCCTGGGCTTCTCCATCCCACAGGACCTTTCTCTGGGCTGAAGGCTCAGAGCCTGGAGCCTGTTTCCGATTCTGTGTCTCCCTCTCTCTCTGCCCCTCGCCCGTTCATGCTCTGTCTCTCTCTGTCCCAAAAATAAATAAACGTTGAAAAAAAAATTAAAAAAAAAAACCAAAAAACCTATGCCCCCCACCACCCCCTGGCATCCTTACGACAAAGTCTCAGCTCCTCACTGTGCTTCCCAGAGCCCTGAATGATCTCCCCTTAATAACCTCTTTGGTTTACTGTCTCATTTATGTCCCATCCATATTTAATATCTTTCAGTTCCCTGAACTGAAACCACACTTTTACCACCAAACACTCCCACAGCTGCTCCTCCTGCCCAGCACACCTTTCTCTCCTCTTCCTGTTGCTCATTCCTATCAGCTCATGTGCCACCTCCCCTAGGAAGTCCTCCCTGACTCCCGGGCTGGTCCAGAACCACCCCCCACTTTGGGTTCCAATCGTCCCTGGGCTTCTCCATCCCACAGGAACTTTCTGTTTCCCCAGCCCCAGCCCTGACCGGTCTGTGCTGTCACGGCCTGGTGATGGGTTTGTTTCTCCCACTGGACTATGAAACCCAGGAGGGCAGCGCTGGGCTGTCTCAGTCGCTGCAGTGTGCCCATTACCACCCAACACAGGGACAGTAGGTATCAGTTCATTCATCTAGTCATTCAACTAGTATTCAATGACTACTCACTGATAAGGCCTGTGTAGAAACTGGAAAGATAGCACAAAACAGGAAAAAACAAAATCCTAGTAAAGATGACATTCTTTTTGGGGAGTGAGACAATAGATAGACGCATGAAGTATATAGTATGTGCCTTGGAGAAAAACAAGTAGGGGAGGGACATAATAGCCTCACAATTGAAAATGGTGGATGGAGGCGCCTGGCTTATTCGGTAGAGCATTCGACCCTTGATCTCAGGGTCATGAGTTCAAGCCCCACGTTGGGCGGAGCGCTTACTTAAAAGAAAAAAACCACTAAGTGTTAGGGGTGCCTGGGTGATTCAGTCGGTTAAGCGTCCAACTCTTGATTTCGGCTCACTGTTCGTGAGATCGAGCCCCACATTGGGCTGTGCGCTGGTGGCTTGGAGCCTGCTTGGGATTCTCTCTCTGCCCCTCCTCTGCTCGTTCTCTCTCTCAAAATAAATATTAAAAAAAAAAAAGAGAGAGAGAGAGAGAGAGAGAGAGAGAAAGTGGTTGATGTCTCAGTTCAAAAATAACACCACCGCACATCTGGGGGCAAGGCACTGTTCTCCCCATTTCGGATGAGGCAGTAGGGTTCAGGGAAAACTCTGCTCGGGTTGTACAATGTCAAGTCTGTCGGTATGGAGTTCGAACCCGGGGCTCAGTTCTGTTCCAGGATACCACGATGTCGGAAACCAATTCATGAATGTAACATACAGGCAGAATGTCTTTTCCTTGCCACCCGGAGGGAGGGCAGGAAGTGGGGTGAGAGGGCAGGGCCCCTTGTTACTGAACCGAGCGCTGCTGGAAGCACTTTACGTATTCAGTTTCTCACCAAATTAGCCCTTTCCTTAGCCCCATGTGACGGAGGAGGAAACTAAAGACCCAGAAAGGTTAAGTCATTGGCGCAAAAGGACACAGCCAAGAAACAGTGGAGCCAGGGTTTGACCCTGAGCTGCCTCGGGGCCCCAGGTGTAGACAGCCGCCTCTCCTGTTGTTCATCATCTGTAGATCCGTGGCTGTCCGCCACCCCTCCCCACCACCCCCAGCAGCAGCACGTGAACCAAGAGGTGGCATTGGCTTCGCAGACACTCTAGCAACATCTCCTCTCCCTCCCAGTCTTTGAGGGGGACGTCGGAAGCTTTCTCCAAATATAAAGGATATGGTGCTCCCTCTGGCCAGGCTGCTCTGGCCGATCCATCCTTGGTCGAAGTTCTGGAGCTGCTGCTGCTGCCGTTTCATGTCACATCGTGTCACATCAGATTGAGTCTCTCTTCTCCAAATCCTCCCACGGCTCCCGTCTCACTCAGAGTAAAGCCAAAGTCTTGTCCACGGCCCATGACATCCAGATGATCTGCCGCCTCACTCCTCTGGCTTCATCCCCACCCCTCTCCTCCCTCACTGGCCTCTTTGCTATTCCTTAAGTATTCTACGTGTGTCCCCACCTCAGGCCCTTTGCATGTGCTGTTCTCTCTGCCTACAACGCTCTTCCTCGTAGAGCCTCGTCACTCTCTCCTCTCCTTCACGTCTTTGTTCAAATATACCATCTCAGAAGACCTTTCCTGACCACCTTATTTGAAACTGTAACCCTTACCATGCATTCCCATCCCGCGTTTTTCTTCCCCCTTCTTCTAACACATCATAGAATCCACTTACCTGTCTGCTTGTCTTTGACCCTTGCTAGAATAGAAACTTCATGGGTGCAGGGATCTCTTGTCTGTTTTGTTCACTGATGTGTCCCACCATGCCTAGCACAGTATTGGGCATGTAGAACATGCTTGATAAATATTTGTTGAATGAATACCTTGTGTTTGTATTGCCATATTGCAGATGCAGCAACTGAGGCACAGGGATATTAAGCCACCTGCTCAAAGCCATGCAACTTTTTAAGTACTAAGTGCTAGAACCAAGATTGGAGCCAGCGTTCCAGCCCCCAGGCACACATTGCTAACCACTGTCTCACGCTGCCTTTCCAAGGCAAGTCGAGTGAATAGGATACTTACCTCTCTACCTAGGCATTCAGGGTTGCTGAGGTTGGACTGAGGTGTGCCGGGACCTGCCTCATCTCTCTGTACCCCCGATTCTAAAAGCCAAGGGAACCTGGGTCTAAGCTAGCTAGTCTCCCCCCACCCCACACTACTCCTGGATTCCCACTACAGCGTCGGCTCAAAGCTCTCGTTTTGGGGGTGGCAGATCACTCAATCCAACAAGGCAGAAATAGGGATTAAGTATTTACCCAAGCAAGGTTTGTGATGGCCGATGGGCCACCCCCTCAGGTGTGGTGACGTGGCAGAGATGAGAACATGGAGACTGTGACGTGGGGTGGCGTGGGTGGTTGCCATGGCAGAGGGTATCATGACACAGGGAGTGTACCGACACCATGGGAATGATGAGGGCACCCGAGGGGAGGGGGGGAGGTGACAATGAAGAGGTGATGAAGGGGACCGCATGAGGGTGAGGGTGACATGGTTAATAACATTATTAGTCCAAATCTCCACATCAGGATGAGCATATCACAAGAATAAATTTGCAGAATCCTCATAATCGTCCTTGATGTAGGTGTCCTTGTGTGCGTTTTACAGATGAGGAAGCTGAGATTGCAAAGGTGTGATCAGGTGGTCAAGGTTACCCAGGGTTTAGCGGTGGAGCTGGGATTCTGGCACACGCCAGGATGGGACTCTAGCCCATACGGTGGTGAGTATGTGAGAGGTGACACGGAGAAATGACGGCAACACGGAGGCAAGAGAAACAACTGGAAGGCAGAGTGGCTCCTTATCGGGAAAACTAGAAGCATGAGGCATGGACGGTGACTGTTAGGAAGCAAAGGTGACATGGGAGGAATGGAGTGAAAATGACACAAGGGAAGGGTGACTGCGATTTAAGGAGATGGTGACAGGAGGCGTGTGAAGGTGACATGGGGGTATGATGACGGCTTCAGTAAGGACTTCATAAAAGAAAAATAGCAACAAAAGAAGACAGCAGGTGACGGAAAGCAATGGTGACTTAAAGGGGGAAGACTGCAACGTAGGGTGGCAATAGGGACTTAGAACGAAAGCGAATTAAGGCGGCTGACAGCGACATAAGGAGGGTGACGCCGACAGAAGCGGGGTGGTGACGATTTAACCGGGGCGCGACACAAGGGGAGGAATGGCTACATAAAGGGGCACTGGATGACAAAAGGGAAGAAATGAATTACGGCGGGAAGGGCAACATGAAAAGGCTAACAGAGGCGCCGCGCCCCCAGATCGCACAGTACCTGCACTCCGCGTCTCCCACTCCGGGACCCAACCCCGCACGCACCTTGCCGGCTGGAGCCCCGCCCGACCACCCCCGCCTCGCACAGGCGCACTCCGGCAAGACTGCGGGCTAGCGGGGGCTAGGCATGTGCCTTTCTCATTGGCTGCGCTCCTCGCTAGAGCGGGGCGGAGCGAAGCGCCTGGGAGACCATGGGAGGTCACGTGACGGTTGCGGCCACACTCTCGCTGGTGGCGGCCGGGTGGGCTAGAGCGGCCGCGGTCGGTCGGCCCGGCTTCCGGCGATGGGGGCGGTGCTTCCGGGGCGGGCAGCCGGGCCGAGGGAGGAGGGTCTGACAGTTGGCGCCGCCGGGGAGGGAGGGCGGGCGGCGCGAGTGGGCGCGGGCAAGGAGGGTCAGGTGAGGCGCGGGCCATGGGTGGTGGGACTGGGCCGGATGCGGAAGGGATGGATGGCGTTCTGGTTCTGGAGTCATTCTCGGCGTCGCTGTGCGGCCCGGACAAACGACTTCTTTCTCTGAACCTCAGTTTCCTCCTCTGTAGAATGGGGGCCAGAATCTGGCATAGCATCCTCCCTCTGGATTGGAGTGAGAGCTCAGCTCGTGCATGTTGGAGACCCTAGTTCAGCGCCTAGCACACTGCACACTTCGTACTATACTTTTGTTAGTACTGTACTGATGAAAATGTTTGCGCTTGGCATGGAAGATCTGGGTGTGGGGGCATGAAATTGGAGGCCGGCAGATTTCGGTTCAAGTCCCAGCTCAGCTTTGTGGCAGTAGCCTGTGCCTTAACCTCTCTGAACCTCATTTTCCTTATTTGCAGAACGAGGGCTAATAGTACCAATATCATAGAGTCGTTGTGAGGATGCTAATGAAATGTGCATGTGAATCCCTTAACACAGGGCTTCGTACAGTATTGAGTAAGAGCTCCATGTATTGGGACTATGATAATAATGACTCTGAGAGTTACCGGTGTAGCTGGGACTTGCAAGGGAGTAAAGGGTTGGAGGAAGCCCAGAGACAGCAATAGGAAAAACTGGAATCTGGAATTGGGCAAATCGACGTCCTGCCACTTCCTATTTGACCAATTTTGCCGGATCTCCTAGATTTAAGTTTTTCTTTTTTTTTAAAACCACTAATGCATTTTCCTCCAGTCAGTTCACTTGAGATGGACATTTTGCATTGCTGTACTAATGGAAAACCAGCATTGCTGGCTGTGAAAAGAAGGAAAACTTAACCTAAAATGCAGCGGAAGTAGAACAGTCTATTAAATTGTAGACAGAAGCTGAAAGAGATTGAAATAACCTGTGCTTTGCGATTCCACAATGCCACGGACCCTATCAAGTTATACTCTGTTCTTCACTCGCATTTGGCACGGGACTGACAAAAGTCAGTGACTGTCCTACCCTTTCTCTAGCTCACCGAAGGTGCATTTATTTAACGCGTATGTACATAGCACTTATCTCCTGCCAAGCATTGTTGTAAGCACTTGGTGTTTATGAACTTGCTTCATCCTTCTAACCACTGTAAGAATAGATACTCCTATCCTTCTTGTTTTAGAGTTGAGGGGAAGTGAGATCCAGAAAGGTTCAGCCACTTGCCCCAGGGTCAGGGTTCAGAAGTGGTAAAAGGATTTAGGTCCAAGCCTTTTAAAAAAGGGCTTAGCAAGGGAGTCTGATACATGGTAATTTCTTGAGTTTGGGGAATTGTCATTTTCTATTATTAACGTTCCAATTTTCACTGTTCAGAAAGTCAGCGCTGGAGATGGGCTTTTAATGAAGGAGAGAGGCAATTGAGTCCAGCAGGGTGACCTCTGCAGCTGTAGGGAGAGGATACCAGTACTCAAAGGCTTCTGGTAAGCATTAACTGGAACCTTGCCAAGACTGACCACAGTGCCTGGCTTGTAGTAATCGCTCAACCAGTGTTAAATCATAGTCATTGGACTGACTTGGGTTCAAGTCCTGGCTTATAGTTATTTGCTGTGTGATCCCGGACCTGCCACTCTCGTTTGTAACGTGGGGATCGTTTTAGGGGCGCCTGGGTGGCTCAGTGGGGTAAGCGTCCGATTCCAGATTTCAGCTCAGGTCATGATCTCGTGGTTCATGGGTTCGAGCCCCGCATCGGGCTCTGCGCTGATGGTATGGAGCCTGCTTGGGATTCTCTCTCCCCCTCTCTGCCCCTCCACTGCTTGCGCGCGCTCTCTCTCAAAAATAAAAAACATTCAAACAAACAAACATGGGGATCATTTTAACTTTGTTCCCCAGGTGGTTGTGGGGAGACACTGAGCTGTGTATATTCAGTGCCTGCCGAGGAAACATTCAACAAGAGCTACTGAATGGGCCCTGGAATCCGGGAGAACTTGTTTTCAAATCCCAGTAAAGTCACTTGCTAGATGTGGCATTTGGTAAATGACTATACTTCGACGAGTAGGTTTTTTTTCATCGATTAAGATGGGGCTAATAATAGTGCTCAGTCATGAGGAGGTTGTGAGGTGTCGACACGATGCCTGGCTCCGGTTCTGGTGCATAGTCAGTGCTCAGTACGTGAGATTTGTTTTCCTGTCTGACATATCGAACCCTTGCCATGCCCTGCTCTTTGAGAGATGCTGGTTTTGCGGTCTTTGGCCAGTGGCAAAACTCTCCCCAGAGGGGAAAGTAGATCTTAGGAGTCAGGTACGGGGCAGAGTGATGTCTGTGGTCACGTTCATCAATAAGACATGCAACCAAAGCCAGAGGTGGTCAGGATGAACCCTCACTGGAGGTAGAGGAGAGAGTCTCACATCTGGTGACTTCAGGAGAGCTTCACAAAGCAGGTGGCCAGGCAAGCAGAGTGAAGGAGAGCTTGCCAGGAGGACAGGATAAGAAAGCATTCTGGGCCCAGGTGACCTGCTGTGGGAAAACCAGGGGGGCAGGCAAAGCCCTTGGGTGTTAGAGGACAGGCTAAGGTGGGATCCCTGGGAGATAAGAACAGCCACTGCTTCTAGACGAGTTGGAATGTGCAGGCACTGCCGCAGGTGCCCCGTGCATAGAAACTCGCCTGGCCTTACAGCAGCCCTTCAAGGGTAGTACCATCTGGACCGTCCCTGTCCCTATTTACAGATGAAGACGCCAGGTTGACTAGTGAAGTAACCTGTTAAGACCACACAGCTAGCATGTGGTCGAGCCAGATTTGAACCCTGCAGTCTGGTTCCAGGGCCCTTACTCTTCTGCTGTCTCTCCTGTACCGTCAAAATGGGGACAGGGAGGGGCAGACTGTGGAGGACGCCGAGAAGGGGTGAGGGAGAAGGATCAGAATCGGGGGCTGAGGTGGGTAGAAGAGGGCAGAGGGGCTGGAGGAGAGGGCAGGGCTGGAGAAGGACAGGAGGGCTGAGTGGGAGGTTTGGGCCCGGGCAGCGTGGGACGAGTGGTCCTGGAGACCGATGATGTGGACCCATCAGGCAAGGAAGTTTTTCCCTTTTAGTTTCCTTTCAGCCCTGCTCTTCATGTTCAGGGGAAAGTCTCCTCCGTTGGTGCTGGTATGTCTTTAACAGCTTCCGGGCACCTGCAGTCTTACCTAAGTGGACACTGGTTTCCCATTTCTCCTCCGAGGCCCCTCGTGAGGCGGTGGGCCACCTGTCTGCGCTCAGCTCCCCCTCCTCTCCTCCCCTCCGCTCACTCACTGCAGCGCAGTCTCAACGGCTCCGTGTGTGCGGTCCCCCTCACATGCCAGATGGGCTCCTGCCTCAGGGCACTGGACTTGCTGTCCCTTTTCCCGGAACACTCTTCCTCTACAGAACCACGTGGCTCGCTCCTCCACCTTCTTCGGGTCTCTGAATGTCACTGTAGAACGGTCTCCCCTGTTCCCCCTGTTTAGAATTGCAGCCCCTCCCTTCCTGGTCCTCCAGGTTTTCTCCATGACACCAAAGGCTTTCTGACTCACCGTATCCTTATCTGTTCTGCCTGTTTACTTCTCTGTCTTCCCCTCTCCCCAGTCTCCACCTAGATGCCACACTCTGTGTTTTTGTTCCCCTCCGTATCCTTAGCTCCTAGAATAGTGCCACACGCAGAGTAGGTTGTCAGGAAGCAGTTTGGGAACGGCTGACTAGTGGGCATTTACGGTTAAAGTCTTGAGCAGGGGTGTCTTTTGTTTTCTTTTTCTTTCTTTTCCTTGCTCATTCCAGCCAGAAACTTTTGAGGTGTGTGGGAACAGAGCTGCGTACATTTGCCGTCCCTGGGCCTTGTCCCAGGCAGCAGTGATAGTTGTGGTGGCAGCTCTATCCCAGGCTGACTTCCTGCCAGCTGTTCCAGGCTATTCCTGGGCTGTGAGCCCCCAGCCCAGGAACGCTTCTCTGGCAGGCAGACCGACAGGCAGCAAGGGAGGGACGTACGTTACACTCACAGCCTGTGGCGACTCATGGGCCCTTCTCCCCTTGTTCTGTCTTCCAGGCTCCCGGGAGCAGCACCAGGGCCAGGGAGACAATGGTCTCAGTGACTATGGGTGAGTCTGTGGTCTTCTCTCTGGGCTCCCTCTCCCCACTGTCCTTTTTGAGGTATGACCTTGGTGAGGGGAGACGAGGTGGGGGAGGGAGGGCCAGGTCACTGGCAGGAACAGCTGTACCCTGAGGAACGTGGAGGCGGGGCCAGGGCCTCTCCGCTCTGTGTGTTGGCCTCCGGACAGCATGGTCTAGCCTTAAAGAACTTGTGTCATGAAGTCCAGCAGCGCCTGGGTTTTCTCACCTATAAAATGGAGATACTAACAGTTCCTTACATCCTAGGATGTTGTAAGGAGTAGAGAGCTTGTTGCACATCAGATCTTGGGCATGGTTCTTGACAAATGCTAGCCGTTATTATTCTCATGAGCTGTGTCTCTGTATTCTCTTTAAGCCCGTATTTTGGGATTGCCCAAGCACTGAGGTCAGCTGGCAGCTTTGCAATTTTTTGAGATTTGTGCATCTAGAAAAGTACATAAAACGTCGGAAGAGCAATTAAGAAGCGAACATCGGAATACATCCTTCACGATTCCATTTACGTAAAGCACAGAAACAGCCCAAACCAATCTGTACCATTAGAAGGTGGTGGTTGCCCTCGAGACGCCACTACACAGGGAGCGGGTCGGGGGCGACACCCCCCCCATCGTGGCTTCTGGGATGTTGGAAATGTTTTATTTCTGGATCTGGGTGCTGGTCTGCAGGCGTGTGTTGGTTTGTGAAAATTATCGACCTATGTGTATCCTTGTATGTGTGTATGTTCTAGTTCAATACAAACGTTTTAAAAACGAACCATCCAGGCCAAGAAATACAATGTTGCCAGCCTCCCCAGAGCCCATCCCAGTCACAACCCCCTCGCTCCTCCAGATGGAATCAACCATTATCTCTTCTTTGTGATCATTTCTCCTTGCCTTTTATAGTCGTACCACCAATGAGAATATTCCTATTCTTTAGACTTTGGTTTTGAACTTGGGGGAACAAAATCGTGCCTTGTGTTCTCTTGTGTGTGGCTTCTTCTGTACCACACAACATCTGAGCATCCCCTCTGTTGCCGTGTGTAGCTGTGGTTCTCTCCTCTGCACTGCTGTGTGGTATTTACTGTGTGAGTGGCCGCCCTTTGTTTACCTGCCTGTGTCCGTGGCTACTGCATTGTTTCTGGGTTGGGGCTGTTACAGACGGACTGCTGTGAATATTCTAGTGAATGTCTCCTTGTGTGTATAGCAAGCCATACCTCACTGAGTCCATGACCCACGCTGTTGCCCATCTTTAATATTTCGGAAATGGGGGTGCTTATGACCATTTTATTGGCAGTATATTTTCCTCTTCAGTAGGACATAAAATGATGGTGGGGGCCTGATGTGGGGATGTTGGCAGTTCCTTGACTTTCTGCTTCAGGCAGCTAGCTACCCCCAAGTGATGTGGCACCTTTTTCCTCCTCAATAAGATTTTTTAAAAATTAGTTTTAGAGAGGGGCGCCTGGGTGGCGCAGTCGGTTAAGCGTCCGACTTCAGCCAGGTCACGATCTCGCGGTCCGTGAGTTCAAGCCCCACGTCAGGCTCTGGACTGATGGCTCAGAGCCTGGAGCCTGTTTCCGATTCTGTGTCTCCCTCTCTCTCTGCCCCTCCCCCGTTCATGCTCTGTCTCTCTCTGTCCCAAAAATAAATAAACGTTAAAAAAAAAAATTAAAAAAAAAATTAGTTTTAGAGAGAGGGGCTCCTGGGTGGCTCAGTTGGTTAAGGGTCCAACTTTGGCTCAGGTCGTGATCTCATGGTTTGTGAGTTCAAGCCCTGCTTTGGGCTCTGTGCGGAGAGCTGGGAGCCTGGAGCCTGCTTCAGATTCTGTGTCTCCCTAGTTCACTGCCCCTTCCCCACTAACACTCTGTCTCTCTTTCTGTCTCTCAAAAATGAATAAACATTAAAAAAATAAAAAAAAATTATTTTAGAGAGAATGTAAGCAGGGGAGAGGGACAGAGAGAGAGAGAGAGAAAGAGAAAATCTTAAGCAGGCTCCACACTCAGCGTGGAGCCTGAGTGAAGCTTGATCCCACAACGCTGGGATCATGACCTGAGCCGAATTCAAGAGTCAGACACTTAACTGACTGAGCCACCCAGGCTCTCCCCCTAACCTTAATAATAGTTTAATTAAGATACAATTCACATTTTATACAGTTCAATGGTTTTGTGTTTTTAAGTAAGCTCCACACCTATCATGGAGTCCAACATGGGGCTTGAACTCCCAACACTGAGATCAAGAGTCGGATGTTTAACCGACTGAACCACTCAGGCACCCCCGCTCAGTGGTTTTTATCCACGGAGGTATACAACCATCATCACAATCAATTTCAAAACCTTTTCATCACTCCTCCCAAACGCCCATACCCATTAACTGATAGTCGAGTTACTCTCTTTTCCTCATCGGCCTCTCAAAACTACTAATCTACTTTCTTTCTTTTTTTTTTTTAATGTTTATTTATTTTTGAGACAGAGAGACAGAGCATGAACAGGGGAGGGGCAGAGAGAGAGGGAGACACAGAATGTGAAACGGGCTCCAGGCTCTGAGCTGTCAGCACAGAGCCCGACGCGGGGCTCAAACCCACAGACCGCGAGATCATGACCTGAGCCGAAGTCGGACGCTTAACCGACTGAGCCACCCAGGCGCCCCTACTAATCTACTTTCTGTCTCTGTAGTTCTCTGTAGATGTTTACCTGTTCCAGCCATTTCATATAAATGGAATCATTTTGTGGTGCCTTTTGATATTTAGACAAAGTTGCCTGCTTTTGGCTAACAGAACCCAGGGCCCCATGCCTGGGCAGGTGGATGGTGCCTGTGCAAGGCAGCAAAAGCCCCCCTTCTCTGGGCTGGTGGGGGAGTCCTGAGGGCATGAGCTCCTCACCTGCCTCAGTCCTGGGGAGATGGGCTTGTGGCCAGGTGGGCAGGGGCCTCCCTGGGAGAAGAGTGGTCCCTGGGCTTGGCCTGAGTTCTGGATGGCCACCAAGACCAGAATCTCTTTCCCCACTCCGAGGCTCAGTTGTCTGATAAGCAAAATGGGCCTAGCAGTAGCAGACTTCTTCTCATCTAACATAGCATGGATTGTTGGGTGCCATGCTATATACCTTGAGAAAAAGTTTCACCAGTTAAAACCACGGCACACCATTGATTCTGAGGTGGATCTTAGTTTCAGAGGTGTTAAAACGTGAAAAAAAAAATCTTTTGGAATTAGTGATCTTATCTAACACACATTGGCCACACCTAGTTTGAAAGTCACACCCAAGAGGCCAACAAAGAAGTTTCCAGACAATAAACTTTCATGGGTGGGTGCCTCCTTGGTCTTGACCTTGGCCTGGGTAATGGTGGTAGAATAATAGAGTAATAATAATGATACTACTACTAATAATAATGGCAGCTGCTATGAGTTGATGTTGTCCCCTGGCCAGGTGTCATTCAAGGCCCTTTATGTGGACTTTCTCATTGAGTCTGCACAGTGATCTGAGGATGTTCGTGTTATCACTAGAATTCGAACTCGATGAAGGAAGGGATGTTGTCTTGTGCCTTGCGGTATCCCCGGTGGCTGGAATGGGACCTGGCCTGTGCCAGTCCTCAATAAATACTTACTGAGTGTATTATCGTAAATTCACAGATGAGGAAACTGAGACACCAGGCGTTAACCTCCCATTGTCTCTTGGCCCGGAAGTGGCAGAGCCAGAATTTCAACCCAAGCTCCAAAGCCTATACTTGCTGCTCCTACAGTGAGGAGAGGGCTTTATTGACGCTCACAGGCCAGCTCTGTGTCCCTTCTTCCCATTTACCTGTGGATCCTGTCACTCTCTGGAGCTGGGCCTGTCAATGGGGACCAGGGCGGAGAATGCAGAGTCCCAGCTCCCTGAAACCTGGCACTGGCCAAGCATGGGGACAGCCGCTGCGGGTCACATCCCAGGGCAGGGTAGAGCTTATAAGGAGAAGGGCGGTACAGCAGCACATGGGTTGGGGACTCTGCTTCCTGTTAGCGATGTGGCCTGAGGCCAGCTGCCCAACCTCTCCCTGCCTCAGTGTCCTCATTGGCCAAGTGTGGGAGTCCTAGTGCCGCTGAGCTCACAGGGCTGTCGCGGGCCTAGTTCCACTGTCTGCGTGAAGCGCTCAGCCAGGGCTTGGCACGCGGTGAGCATTTAATTTGTGGGAGCTGCTGCTGTTGTGGCTGCTGTTGTGGCTTTTCGGCTGCTCTTCTCTAGAGAGAACAATGGGAATAATGAACCCTGTCCGCCCCTCAGCCACTTCCGAGTGGATCCAGTTCTTTAAGGAAGCCGGCATTCCTCCCGGGCCTGCTGTCAATTACGCCGTGATGTTTGTGGATAATAGGTAAGGGGGCCCGAGGGGACAGAGCTGAACCTGGAGAGAGGCGGAGAGAGGCTGGGAGAGGTGGGGGGAGCCTGGGGGGGGGCGGGGGGAGATGGGAGCTGGCTGGCCCTTCCATCCTGGCGCACTGGCGGCCTCACCACTCACCCTCCCCTGTAGGATCCAGAAGAGCATGCTGCTGGATCTCAACAAAGAGATCATGAATGAGCTGGGCGTGACTGTGGTGGGCGACATCATCGCCATCCTCAAGCATGCCAAGGTGGTGCACCGCCAGGTGGGTGTCCCACCCCACCCCTTGGTCCCCGGGTTTAGGGGGGTTTAGGGCGCGGTGGAGCAGCGGTAGCAGAGCCAGCAGGAGGCTTGGAGGCAAAGACAGGCAGACCTGAGCGCCAAGGCTGGCTGCACCATTTGTTGTGTGACACTGGGCATGTTGCCTAACCTCTCTGAGCCTTTCTTTCTCCATTTGTAACATTAAAAAAAAAAAATGTTTATTTTTGAGAGAGAGAGAAAGAGAGAGAGTGTACACACAGGGTGAAGGGCAGTGAGAAAGAGGGACAGAGGATTCGAAGCGGGCTCTGTGCTGACAGTGGAGAGCCCAATGCGGGGCTTGAACTCATGAACTGTGAGATCATGACCTGAGAGCCTAAGTCGGATGCTTAACCGACTGAGCCACCCAGGCGTCCCTCTGTCTCCATTTGTAGAATGCAGATAGGCAGACCTATCTTGCAAAGTAGTTGTATTACGTTAAATAAAGCCCCAGTACAGTGTAAACAGTAGGGCCTCAGTAAAGGCTCTCTATTACCATTACTAGTTCTCATCTTCCCCGTGACAATAACATCATTAGCAGGATTCTTGTCTGTCCCCAGGACAGGAGCTCCCCGCTTAGGACCCAGGTGCTGACTTGGCCAACAACATGGGTGTTCCATTCTCGGCCCCTCCACTTACAGTGACCCTAGACTAGTGATCTTCACTTCCCTGAATCTTCTGAAACAGGCTTCTCCCACACCACTGCTGCTGTGGCCACCCACCAGATAGCATGTGGCACCGAGCTCCACACTGGGAATGAAGAGCTTGTTGAGCTTTGATAGCTGACATTTACCGAGCGCTTACCGTAGCCTGCCAGGTGCTGTCTCCATCCTTCATCCATTTTAACTCATTTCCTGCTCACTCCACTTGACTGAGAAGGAAACTGGCTCTAGAGCGGTGCTCTCAGACTCCCCACTTTACCAAATGGTAGCTGCTTCCCCCACCCAGGGACGGGCCTTCACCTGTCCAGCCAGCCAGGCCCCCGCCGTGATGGCTTTCTCACGTCAGGGACTTGAGTTATCACAGAGAAGGTCACTGGGCAACACTTTTTTTTTTTTCCTTGAAACTTTTAAATTTGGGAATGATTTTAGATTTACAGAAAAGTTCCGACAGCAGTACAGAAAGTTTCTGTACTTCCCTTAATGTTAACAGCTTCCCTTAATGTTAACATTCGTAGTAGCCACAGTCCATTTGTCAAAACTAAGAAATAAACATCAGGACACTGCTATTAACAAAAATACAGACTACTTGGATCTTATCAGTTCTTGTATTAAAGTCTTCTTTCTGTTTCATATACCACATTGCATTTATTTATGTCTCTTTCTGTCTCTTAAGTCCCCGTTGATTTATACCAGTTTCACAGTCTTTCCAGATAATGTTCGATGACCTTGACAGTTTTGAAGAGTACTGGTCAGTTGTTTTGTAGAATGTCTCTCCGTTTGGGTTTGTCTGATGCTTTCTCATGGTTAGGAGTGAAATGTTTTGAACTCTCTCCTGTAGCAGTTCAGGCTCTGATCCCCCTATGTTACTCAGATTTCTCAGATTATCCTTGTCCACATGGTATCCCAGGCACCTTTTTTTTTTTTTTAATGTTTATTTATTTTTGAGAGACAGAGAGCACGAATGGGGTGGGGCAGAGAGAGAGAGAGAGAGGGAGAGAGAGAGAGAGGGAGAGGGAGAGAGGGAGACACAGAATCCGAAGCAGGCTTCAGGCTCCAAGCTGTCAGCACAGAGCCCGACGTGGGGCTCGAACTCACGAACCGTGAGATCATGACCTGAGCCAAAGTCTGAGGCATAACCGACTGTGCCACCCTGGTGTCCCATTATTTTATTTATTTATATTTTTACAGGACATGTGCAAAGCCGCCACTGAGTCCGTGCCCTGCAGCCCCAGCCCCCTCCCAGGCGAGATTCGCCGAGGCACCTCTAGTGGTGAGTCCCGTCTACCCAGGGTTCCTTTCCTTCAGTCATACGCTTCAGCTGTAGAGGGGATACACCTGAAATCTGCAGAGGTGAAACAAAGCCATCTGAGGTTCTCTTAGGAAAAAAATAGTCTGGGTAGGGAGGTGGCAATATGTCCGGTCGATTTTCATTGGTGGCAGTTCTGCTCCATAACGTCACTGTGACCTCTGAATTAGTGAATATTGAGTCACTGCTTCAAGAGGAAGTACAAAGTTAGGTTCCTGTAAGCCTCTAGTCACAACATTTTTGTCAGTTGATTAACAGATCTTATTATTATTTTCTCTTAATGTTTATTTATTTTTGAGAGAGACAGAGACAGAATGCGAGTGGGTTAGGGGCAGAGAGAGAGGGAGACACAGAAGCAGAAGCAGGCTCTAGGCTCCGAGCCGTCAGCCCAGAGCCCGACGCGGGGCTCGAACTCACGAGCGGTGAGATCATGACCTGAGCCGAAGTCGGACGCTCAACCGACTGAGCCACCCAGGCTCCTCGACACAGATCTTATTTTATGTGTATTTCTGTTTAGAGACCTTTTACTTGTAATACATTGTTGATACATTAACATCAAGCTCACAGCCAACAGCACTGTGACTCCTGCCTAGACGAAGCTAATCTAACATGTATTTTCTCCATAAGGCACATCACCTGGGAATATGAGAAAGCACGTTGTCACTATGCTTGGGCGCCATTTTAAACAGCAAAATCACTATCCAAAAGCACAAAAGTGTAAAAAGGGGATACAAAATAGACCATGAGAAGGATACTTGTTTACCGTGAGAGCTAAAGGCAGAGAGTCCCCTTGTTTGACTTCAGTTGGGAGTGTGTGTTGGGTGACTTGAGTGTTTCACTGTTCAGTGCATGGCTGTGAATGGCAGCAAAAGCACCACAAATACTGGTTTTGGGGTTAGAAATCAATTATAGTGAATAGGCGAATTTGCAAATATGGAATCCGTGGATGGTGAGAATGGTATTTATACATTTGATTTTTTAGCAGTGTGATACCTTTTTTAAGAAAAATAAACTTTAGAAATTTAATATGCATATTAGCTTAACAAGCCCCAAACTGGTTTAAAATACAAGCTTTTATCTCTCGTGATTTTTTTTTTTAATGTTTTATTTATTTTTGAGAGAGAGAGAGAGAGACAGAGCACGAGTGGGGGAGGAGCAGAGAGAGAGGGAGACACAGAATCCGAAACAGGCTCCAGGCTCTGAGCTGTCAGCACAGAGCCCGACGCGGGGCTTGAACTCACAAACTGTGAGATCATGACCTGAGCCAAAGCTGGACACTCAACCGACTGAGCTGCCCAGGCGCCCCATATCTCTCGTGATTTTATGACATGGCTGGTCACTTCTGCTCTGGGTCAGCTCAGCTGATCTCAGTGGTCACCTGGCAGTTTGGTTGAGGCTGGGTGATCTAGGATGGCCTCACTCACGTCTGGTGGCTGGCTTGATGTCATCTGGACCAACAGAGGTGACTTGGCCACATGTCTCTCATTTTGCAGCAGGCTAGCCCAGGCCCCTCCACGCAGTGCTGATTGTAGGGCTCCCCAGGACAGCATAAGAGGGCAGATCCCAGTGTGCAAGGCACCTCTTAAGCTTCTGCCTGTATAACACTTGCTCTTGTCTCATTGGCCAAAGCCAGTCACGTGGCTAAGCCCACAATCAGTGTGGGCAGTGCCTACCCAAAAGCATGGACAGAGGAGGCTGAAAAAATTGGTGTTCTTTTCTGCAGCAGTCTTCCTCAACTTACACACAGAAAAGGGTTCCAATCATAAAGGTACAGCCGAATCACTTTTCACAAGTGCAACACTCGTGTAGCCAGCAGCATCCAAATCCAGAAACAGAAACATGACCAGCATCACTACCCGCCCCTCCTCTCCAGGGTACCCATTACCTTGATGTCTTTTTTTTTTTTTTAAGTTTATTTATTTATTTTGAGAGAGACAGACAGTGTGAGTGGGGGAGGGGCAGAGAGAGAGAATCCCAAGCAGGCTACGCACTACCAGCACAGAGTCTGACATGGGGCCTGAACCCACGAAACTGTGAGATCGTGAGCTGAGCCAAAACCAAGAGCCGGACGCTTAACTCACTGAGCCACCCAGGTGCCCCTTATTGACCCTGATTTCTAACAGCATTGATGATCTATTTTTTTAGTCTTTTTGCTCGTCTTTCAAATGTACGTCAATGAAATCAGATAGTATGTTATTTTTATACCTTTTTGAATGTCTTAGTGTCAAACAAGTTAAAAAAATTAAAACTAACAAAAATGCTCGTGGAGAAAATAGGCAGTTAGGAATAGAGGAAGCAGGCAAAGAAGGAAAGGGGTGGGGAAGAATGTTCCAGAGAAGCATTCCTGGTACACTCACTTCTATACACTTTATGATATACACCTTTGAACACGCATGTCTGTATCTATGTGTCTGACACCTGACTACAGTTCAAATTCGTTAGGGCGAAGATAGTTGTTTTTCTTCCACCCAAATGGTGCTTACCTGTCGTGACAAAACATCGTATGCCTTATCCCTTTTAAGCAAGACATCTCCCTCTGGGTACACTGCAAGAGGCAGGGCCTCCCAGCTGCTTACCTCTCATAGCAGAACATCCCGATCATCCCAGGACAGATTCTGTGCAGCCAGGTGGTTTACGGCTGGTCAGAAAGCCACCCCTATCCGGCTTCAGAGCTGTCTGAAGAAATGTCCTGGGGAAATTGTGGAGGGGTGTATACCGATCGTTACCAGGGGAGTGAGCAGGGCTGAAAACTGGCCATTTCTTCCTGGTGAGGGGCAGGGAAGAGGTCTGATTGGGAAGGGCCAATCCCCAGACTTCCGGGTGACAGTAAGGCTCCAGTTCTTGACCTGGGTGGTGGGTATGTGGGAGTTCACTTTTTGTTAAGTGGTCTCTGTGGGTTTGGTGTATTTTTCTGTATGCTATAGTTATAATTTAAAAAAATCAACCAAGTAATATATAATTGTGATAACGTATTGAGGGTCATTATGGGGAACTTGAGCAGGTTTTGAGAGAGAGCACATAGCAGAAAAAGAAAGGACTTTTGGGGAGTAGGTAGGGTGGAATACCCAAATCTGAAAGCCCTTGGTGGAGGGTCTGGGGATTACTGGGACTGTGGTATAAGCAGGGACGACATGGAGACCCCTTCCCTCCCCTGCAGGGCTTCCCCAAGAGCTTTTGAAACCTGTGCCCTAAAACCAGCTGTTCTGAAGACAAGACCCGTGTCTTTCCCATGCTGGGGTTGACCCTCTAGAGCATGCTGTAGCTCCCACCTCACACCCTGAAACCCCTCCTTCTGCTCCAAAGAAGACAGGGGCGCCAGAGCCTGCCCTCACCCCCATCCTTCATCCCCAGAAGGGGGTTACCGCTTATCTCCCCTCAGCCCAACTGGAGCCGGACCCACCACTGCTTAGGGACCTGGCTGAGTGATCCCCTCCTGGAGTCACCATTTCCTCGTCTGTAAAATTGGCTTGCAGTAGATCTGTCTGGTAGGGATGTTGGGATTTTCAGTGACAGTGTTCATCTTTGCCAGTAGATGTTCCGTGAGGACCTCTAAAGCACCAGAAGCTGTGATAGGCACTAGGGATACAGAAATAAATGGGCATTGTCTTCTCATGGGGCTTGCATGCTCGTGGGAGAGCCCACCAGCAAACAAAAACGTGTAATTTGACGTCAAGCAGCGATTAGGGCTACGAAGAAAAAGAGAGCCTTGCGTAGGGTCAGGGTGGTAGAGGGGATGGAGAGGTCCAGGAAGCTTTTTCTAAGGAGGTGCTGTCTGAGAGGAGACCTGAGTAAAGAGCCAGAGAAGGCCCGTTGGTACTCAGGGAACTGCATGCCAGGCAGAGGGAACAGCATGTGCTTTGAGAAGGTGCACACTTCTGGGGGAAGAAGATCCCCAGACCAGCTGGGCTGAAGTGGAGCTGGGAGAGGAGCTCAGAACAGCACTGGGTAACTGTTGGGTGAAGAGTGACAGGAACCAGTCTGGTCTAGGCCCTCAGGAAGGACCCCCAGGCAGTGAGGAGCGGGCTAGCTCCTGTTTAGACTGGCTTACGCCCAAGCATCCCCATCATGGCAGTGCAGCTACAGGGGGACCCCAGCTGCCCCTTCCCCATGTAGTCCCAAGGCTTGTCTTGTGTCCTGGCCTCCATCCCAGGGACGATGGGACTCTTGCCTTTCCTCCCTGCAGCTGCCTCTCGAATGATTGCTAACAGTCTGAACCGTGACTCCCCACCCGGCACTCCACCGAGGCGGCCGGACACCAGCACCTCCAAGATCTCAGTCACCGTGTCCAACAAGATGGCAGCGAAGACTGCCAAGGCTGCCGGTGAGGGGGTTTGGGCAGATGGCGGGAGGAGCTGGGGATGAGTGTGGGTTGGCAGATGGTATTTGGGGGTCACGTTCCGAATATCTCATGGTGCTTTGAAGGCCTCAGGGTGTCCAAAGCGTTTGGATTTGGTCAAGCCCCTGTACCTCTGTGTGCCTTGCTTTCCAAGTCTATAGAATGGGGACAGTGGGAAGCTGTGGACGTGGTGTACTTAACAGCACAGGGGCACGGCGGTTCTCACTCAGGGGTCTGTTCAGTCTTTTTAAATTTTTTATTTTGTTTTATTACGGAAAGAATGCTTAATATGGTGTCACCGTCTTTTTTTTTTTTTTAAATGTTTATTTATTTGTTTTGAGAGAGAGAGAGAACAAGTGGGAGGAGGCAGAAAGAGAGGGAGAGAAAGAATCTCCAGCAAGCCCTGTGTTCTCAGCACAGAGCCCGATGCAGGGTTGATCTCACAAATTGTCAGATCCTGACCTGAGCCGAAACTGAGTCAGATGCTTAACCTGCTGAGCCACCCGGGCGCCCCTGATGTCACCCCCTTAATTAAGTCTTAAGCGTACAGTACAGCTCTGTGGACTATGGGTGGCTCATTTTTTTTTTAATCATTTATTTATTTTTTAAATTTACATCCAAGTTAGCATCTAGTGCAACAATGATTTTGGGAGTAGATTCCTTGATGCCCCTCCCCCATTTTGCCCCCCCCCCCCCCCCACCCCTCCAGTAACCCTCTGTTTGTTCTCTCTATATAAGTCTCTTATGTTTTGTTCCCCTCCCTGTTTTTATATTATTTTTGCTTCCCTTCCCTTGTGTTCATCTGTTTTGTATCTTAAATTCCTCATAGGAGTGAAGTCATATGATACTTGTTTTCCTCTGACTAATTTCGCTTAGCATAATACCCTCTAGTCCCATCCATGTAGTTGCAAATGGCAAGATTTCATTCTTTTTGATTGCCGAGTAATACTCCATTGTATATATATAGTTACCCCATCTTTATCCGTTCATCCATCGATGGACATTTGGGCTCTTTCCATACTTTGGCTATTGTTGATAGTGCTGCTAGAAACATTGGGGTGCATGTGCCCCTTTGAAACAACATACCTGTATCCCTTGAGTAAACACCTACTAGTGCAGTTGCTGGGTCATAGGGTAGTTCTATTTTTACTTTTTTGAGGAACCTCCACACTGCTTTCCTCTTTCTCTGCATCCTCGCCAACATCTGTTGTTGCCAGAGTGGTTAATGTTAGTGTCTCAGTCCTTTTTTTTTTTATTATTTTTTTTATTAAAAAAAAAATTTTTTTTTTTTTAAGGTTTATTTATTTTTGAGACGGACAGAGACAGAGCATGAGCAGGGGAGGGGCAGAGAGAGAGGCAGACACAGAATCTGAAGCAGGCTCCAGGCTCCGAGCTGTCAGCACAGAGCCCGATGCGGGGCTCGAACTCACAGACCGTGAGATCATGACCTGAGCCGAAGTCAGACTCTTAACCGACCGAGCCACCCAGGCGCCCCAGTGTCTCAGTCCTTTTTAACAGATGTTCACTGAGGCCTGCACTGGTGCCAGGCCCTGTGCTTGATGCAGGGGTCAGAGGTCAAGAAACTACCATTTTCTCTCAGCAGCCAGAAGGATCCTTTCAAACCTTCAACCTGACCCTTTCACACTCAGCTAGAACTCTCCAGGGCTTCCCATTGTCCCAGTAACAAAGTCATCTTCCCACATGGCCTATAGGTCGTGCATAATGTGAGTCCATCTCCTGTGTCTCTCCCTGGCTCCCTTCCCCAGGTCCCTTCCAGGCTCCTTCCTGTCGTGGTATTTCTGCCCCAATGTTCCCTTCTCCCAGCACATTCTTCCCTCACAGACCTTTTATGCTTGGCCTCTGTTCCTCTTCCAGGTCTCAGCTTGAAATCTGGGAATAGGACCCTGGCCTTTGGGCTTCCAAGCTGTCCTTCTGTCTGCCCCAGTGTCCTGCCTTTGTCGGACCCACCCCCACAGCAAAGATCTTGGCACAAGTGGAGACTGAGGCCCAGGGAGGGGGCTTTGTTATTCTGATGCCCAGCCCCTTCATGCTCTGTCCACCTCCATTGCACATGCTCCCTTTTTGCCGTGTGTGTTTAGAAGTGCCTCATCCCCTTCTTTGAACCCTTTACTTCTTGGGGCGGGGGAGGGGCAGAGAGAAGGGGGTAGAGGACCCCAAGTAGGCTTCGCGTTGTTAGCACAGAGCCTGACGCAAGTCTTGAACTCACGATCCATGAGATCATGACCTGAGCTGAAGTCAGATGCTTAGCCGACTGAGCCACCCAGGTGCCCTTCTGGCCTTTTGATTGATGTCGTGAGTAAGAAAGTTTAAATTGATTTCTAAAGTATTGAAAAAGTGGTGAGCCTGGGAGTGTCGAGGGGATTTTGTTTTTCTAATTGAGATATAATTTACTTAGGCATGATATACAAATTGCAAATATATGGCTTGATTCATTTAAAAAAAATTATTACACCTGTGAAACCATTGCTTAGCTGGAGCTCTTGAACTTTTCCATCAGCTAGCAGTTTCCCCTTCTGAGGGGATCCTGACTGAGCTGGGAAGTCAGCCTGCTCAGGGCAGGGACAGAGGCAGAGAGAGCCTGGGAGGCCCGCCACAGCGTGGGGATTCTGAGCACCGTCGGCAACCCCGTCGTGCCCAGACCTCTGAATTTCTTGGTGGCTCACAGTCAGTGGTGATGGGGTGGTTGGGAAGATAGGGGATTGCAGTCATTTGAACGTATGGAGATAAAGGGCACATTTGTGCCCTTCGTTGGGCATCTAGCCCCCACCCCAGGAGAACATTCCACCCCAGAAGGTGCTCACCACCCCTCTCCTCTCCAGCAGCCCTGGCCCGCCGCGAAGAGGAGAGCCTGGCCGTTCCCACCAAGCGGCGCCGGGTCACTGCCGAGATGGAGGGGAAATACATCATCAACATGCCCAAAGGCACCACCCCCCGGACCCGTAAGATCCTGGAGCAGCAGCAGGCGGCAAAAGGTACTGTGCTGGCGGGGGCACACGCTTTGGTGTGGAGACTGCCTTTCCCTTTTGCTGCTTTGTGCGGGGTTGGTCATGCCCTATGGGCATTGGCCAAGAAGTGGGCTCTAACGAGATCCAGGGGGCCTTGGACCAAGGGGACAGTGAGGGTGGCCATAGAGGAGGAGAGCACATCACCACCTCCACCCTCGCATCCTGCAGTTAGTGTAGCAGGTGCTTCACCTGGCACCTCTTCCCCAAGGGCAGGGGCTTGGATTCCATGACTGCCTGACTGTAAAGTGGTGTCCGTGTCTGGCTGAGGGCAGGTGCCCAAGATGGTGGGAACCATCATCATGAGCCAGAGGAGTCTGGTTGAGGTTCAGTCCGTAGCTGGGGTTTGCATCTGGTAGTGCAGAGATGGTCTTCCCCACAGTGTTCCTTTTAGAATGTTGTACGCATTCCCACGGGGAAAGCATTCATATGGTGCAGAAGAGTATACATGTCAACTCATTCTTTCCCTCACTCCCGTGTCCCACGCCGTCATTAACCTTTCCAGACCGGCACCTGTGGACTTGCATGCGTGTATCTATATATAAAAACATAGAGAGGTGTTTGTTTCTATTTCAACACAAATAGCAGCAGCCTGTAGGTATATTCTAGAATTCTTTTATTGAGATCTTTTCACATAAATACATGTGGATGTGCTTCATTCTTTTTTTATTTTAAATGTTTACTTTTGAGAGTGAGAAAAAAAGAATGCAAGTGGGGGAGGGGCAGAGAGAGAGGGAGACACAGAATCCCAAGCAGTTTCCAGGCTCTGAGCTGTTAGCACAGGGCCCAGCATGGGGCTTGAACCCACGAACCGTGAGATCATGACCTGGGCCAAAGTTGGACGGTTAACCGACTGAGCCACCCAGGTGCTCCTCTGCTTTGTTCTTTTTAACGGTCATTTAAATTTAATATTTGCATCGTATTCGTATATCATGATTTAGTAAACATTCTCCCATTGATGGCTATTTAGGGTGTTATTTAGGGAGAGGGCTTATCCGTTCAGCAGACTCTCAGAGGCCCATGACCCAGAACAAGACTGAAGGGAACAAGTAGGGATTTAGAACTCTTCCCGCACACGTTCACGAACTTGTGCAAAGTTTCCAGGAGCCCAAGGGTCAATTTTAGTGGATCTTTCCCACATTTGGCACTAGCCAGAAACATGTGAGTCAGGTCCGTGTCAGCCAGCGCTCAGACACAGAGTCCGTGCCTGCCTGGGCCTGGGCCGCATCTCCCCTCCCTTGTCTGCACGATGCATGATGCTCGGCCGGGACCAAGCTCCGCGCGTGGCTCAGTTGGTGCTGGCTGAGGGCTCACTTCCCTCCCAGGTCTCCACAGGACGTCCGTGTTCGACCGCCTCGGCGCCGAGACCAAGGCAGACACGACAACAGGGAATAAAGTGAGTTGGAAACGGGGAAGCCAGTTGGGGTTCTCTGATTCTTGTCTTCGTGCGGGTGTTGATCCCACATCCAGCCCCTCGTACTCCCTGGGCCGCCTCCCCTGTCTTAACAGTCTCCGTTCCGTTCTTTGCACCTCAACGTCTCTCCTGATTTCCAGCCCCCAGGGTCTGGCCAACTCCTGAATGCTGCCCTTGGGTCCTCCCACCAGATGTCCCAGACTGGCCTCGGCATCTTCCCCCAGAGTAACTCCCCTCCCGGGCCCCGTCTCAGGGACACCCCAGTGCCCCATTCCGGGCAGGCTCTAGTGATGGCTCCGTCTGTCTTCCCTTCTCTGCCACTTTTCCCTGTCTGGATAGGGCGGTGGCCTCCTAACTGGTCTGCAGCTCCTGTGAACCCCCTTCTGCCCCTCCCCCCATAGCAGCAGTGTGTGCCACCCACAGGACAGGCCACCCACCCCCCACCAGATGCTTTCACCCTGGTCAGGATGAACGCCACCCTCCTTGCCTTGGCCTGCAGTCCCGCGGGCCCCGGGGACAGTGTGTGTTAGGAGCACGCAGCCTGAGCCCTGCCCGGCATGAATCCAGCTCTGTCACCACCTGGCTGCATGGCTGCATGGCTCTGGCTACGTCACTTAAGCTCCTGGTACCTCAGCTTTCTTATCCGTGTAGTGCATACCTCATGGGGTGCTTGTGAAGATTAAGTGACACACTCCTGCACAGTGCTGGGGGTGTCTGGTGCACAGCAGGCACTCTTTAAGTGTCACCTTTGACTAACTGCTCCGGAGCTCCCCAGCTGCATTTCCTGCCTCTCCAGCCCTCGCTTGCCAGGGCTTACCCAACCTTTCCCTCACTTCTTAGAGTCTTATCACGAGCAGGATAATAACACTCAGGATCGTGTGGCTTGAAGATGTAGCTGTGTAAAGAGCTTGGCACAGAGCGAGTGCTCCATCAGTATGATTCCTATTCCTGCCTTGGGGACTTAGCCCTTGCTCTTTTCTCTGCTGATTCATCCTTGAGGGCCTGGTTTAAACATCAGTACCTCGGAGAAAGCATCCCTGAAGTCGAGAGGGGTCGAGGCCTCCCTGTCTCCTGTCCACCTGTGCTCCCATCTCTTCCAGAGAACGCACCACTGTCGTAATTAGGGAATCGTTGGGTGTCATTTCCCACGCCAGGTCTGTCTTCCCCACTGGACTGGGAGCCCCCTGAGGGCAGGGCCAAGGCTGTGCTTAGTCACCACTGTTTCCCCAGCACCGCCCAGCACGGGGCCAGGGACAGTCGGGACTCAGGAAATGTCTGTTGAGTGAATGAGCAAATTTTTCTTCTCTCATGTTCTCCTGCAGATCTCTGCAAATGGTCTTCTCTCCGTCTTCTCTCTCCCCCCTTCTTTATTAGACCCACCTGCCGTTACTTTCAGATCTCATCTCTGAGGTCTCTTGTCCAGGGAGTCTCTCCCGAACTTCAGCCAAGGTCAGGAGTCTTCTCTGGGCCCCACCAGGTCCCTGAATCTCCCCTGTCGTGGCTCTCACCACTGTGTAGCGTGCCACTGTTGGGGATTTCTCCCAATGAGGCCAGGCACAGATGGGGCAGCTCTCCGTGCATGCATGTTGAGTGACTACATGGCTCACTTGTCCCGTCTCTGACCCCTGCAGCCCACAGGAGTCTTCAGCCGCCTGGGGGCCACCCCAGAGATGGACGAGGATCTGGCTTGGGACAGCGACAATGACAGCAGCAGCTCTGTCCTGCAGTATGCCGGGGTCCTGAAGAAGCTGGGCCGGGGCCCAGCCAAGTCCAGTCCCCAGCCAGCACTGACTGTCAAAGCTAAGGCCACAAGTTCAGCCACAACGGCTGCCACCCCAACACTGCGGCGTCTGGCCCTTTCCTCACGCCCTGGACTCGAGAGGAAGCCAGAGTCCCTGTCCAAAGGCAGCATCATCCAGAGACTGGGCAAGGCTGCCCTTGTGCCTGAGGCCCAGGACAGCCAGGTCACGAGCACCAAGAGTAAGTCCTCAGCCGAGGTCAAGGTCACCATTAAGAGGACTCTGGTGGGGCCCCGGGGGAACAGCTCCAGCGAGGGCCTGGGTGCCCAGATGGACCATGCGGGCACAGTGAGCGTGTTCAAAAGACTGGGCCGCAGGACCTTCTAGCCTCTGGGCGGGGCGCAGTCCCCTCTCCAGGCTCCTGGCTCCGGCAGAGGCTCCAGTGAGGGCGCGCCCAACCCTCTGCCGGCTTCTGGATGACACTGCTTGTCTCCCTCGGCATTGGAGCCGGCCCGAGCTTTCTGGGGACTCACCCCAGTTTTCTGAGTCTGAGATGGTCGTTGTGACCTGGCCTTGCCGCTCCGGTCTTTCCTTTCTCTCACGTCCTCTGTTCTCTCCTCTCTGACTGTGGCCTTGGCAGGGCACACTCCTCTACCTCTCCCAGAGCCAAGTGCCCTTTTCCCTCCCCCATTCCCCTTCCTGCCTCTCAGCAGCATCTGCTGCCTCGGCCCCAGCTCCTCAGCCTTCCAGTCCCCCAGAGCGGGTGTCACCTGGAGGGGCCGACTTCCCGACTTCCCCTCGCCCCTCTGCCCCGTCCCCATGCTACTTTAACTTCTCGGTCTCTCCCTCTCTTCATGCTGTTCATTTCTCTTCTGTTTTCTGTCCCTGTGGCAAGGCCCGACTGTGCGCTGCGTCCTGCCTGACCCTCCTGCGCCTCCGGCCTCCCAGCGGCCCCGTCGACGGTGGCGTCGAGCCTGTAGAGACTGTTAGCCGCCCTCGCTCCCAGACCCTGGGCTGCAGCAGGGCCCCTCTGTTTTCCGGCCCTGGGCGTCTTTTTCTCTGAAAGCCTGTGGCGGGTGGCGAGCAAGGGTCACCGGGAAGGGAGGCCGGTGCCGAGAGAGAAGAAAACAGCTGTTTTAATATATTTTTGTGGCTTTCAAACTGTTTCCCTCCCCTCCTTCAGGGTGAGTCACAGGGTTGTTTTTCACACGAAGCACAATGTGGGTGGGGGTGCCAGTGAGGGGTTGGGCTCTGTCTCTGAAGGTCAAGGCTCCACGTGGGCCATGTCTCTGCTGCAGGCCCCCAGTGGAAGGGAGTAATGGTCACGGTCCCCGTTCAGTTGGGCTTCCTCTCCCCATCAACCCACTGCGGTGGTCCTGCCTCTGTGTCTGTCCCCCCACCGTATATTTCACCTGTGCCTGCCATTCTGCCTGTTGGCAGCTTTCCAGGTTGCTGGCTTCCTGGTGAGGCAGCTCCTGCCGATTTGATCACACACCCATTCGCTGCTGCACAGCCCCTGCCCTGTGCCAGGCCTGTTTGAGGAGCTAGGGATCCGTTGGGAGCAAGGCAGACAAGCTCCTGGCAGCACGGCTGACGTCTCTGGCCAGGGAGACGGTGGTAAAGTGATCATGCTGTCGGAAGAATGGGAGTGAGGAGCAGAGGCGACCGAGGCCTCTTCAGAAGTTGGGGGTAAGAAGGCCTTTTAAGAGGAGGTGAGGCAAGGGCTGAGCCGGGAATGATCAGAAGCGGCTGCGCGAAGTGCAGGAGGAGAGTGTTCGGCCGAAGACAAGGCCAGGGCAGAGGTTGAGCGAGGAGCAGGGAGAGGCCAGGGGGCCGTCAGGCGTCAGGGGAGCCAGGGGCTGAATGAGGAGCCTGCCGTGTAGCACAGGTGGGGGCAGGTGGGCGGGGACCAGGTGACTTAGGGCTTTGTGATTCATGGTGAGGAATCGGACATCTTCCCTACGCTCTGAGAAGTTGGGGAGGGTAAAGCCAGCGAGGGATGGTCTGAATTGCCTTTTGTGAAGGTGGCTTTGGCCCCTGTGAGGAGGATAAATTGTCGGGAGGCAGCCGTACAGGAACTGGGGCAAGAAAGGAAGGTGGTGTGGGGTGACGCGCGGGGAGGAGGAAGGTGAGTGGGCTTCGGTGGAGCAGCGGGCAGCGTGGATGGATGGGAAGCTGGGGTGCGGGGAGCAGGGGTCACCTCGACACCGGAGCATCTAGCCAGAGGTGCCGTTTGTGGAAACCAGGAGGCTGGGGGTAGAGGAGCGGGGGTGGGAGGGCACGTGGCCGCTGGGGCTTGAGGGGGCCACCCGGGGAGCTTCGAGGAGCGACACCAGCCTGAAGGGAGCATAGAGACAGGAGAGGGCCCAGATGGGAATTGGGGGCCCTTTTCCCATTTAGAGACCAGGACTGATAGGATTAGCGGGAGTGGTCTGGGGGTTGGGAGGCCTAAGAGCAGGTGAGCATGAGATTAGACGTCACCCGTTTTTTTTTTTTTTTTTTATTGTGATAAAATAAACCTAACGTAAACTTGACGATCTTAACCATCTTAAAGTGAGCATCCTGTCCAGTGGCATTAAGTATATTCACACCGTCATATAACCATCATCACCATCGTCCCCACATCTGTGTCATCTTCCTGAGCTGATTGTCTATTTGTAGTGTTTCGGTTGTGTCGTGTCGGGGGCTACTGTGTGTTGGGCAGCGAGCCAAGCACAGGGCCTGGGTGTGAAGGGTGGGGCTTCAGTGTGAAGGACACGGTAGGGAGGGCTGAGGCTAGACCTTTTGGGGGGACTGTAGGAGGTCGTACCTCAGAAGGACAGCAGCTGTTGGCAGCGGTGATTCTGGAGGCTGCACCCTTGTGGTGGCGCCACAGGGAGGGGCTCACAGGCTGCTCTTCAACTCTTGGGGGTTTTTCCCCAGTCATTTCCTCTGGTTCCACCTCATGGACAATTCTAGCAACTGCCAAGGTTCAGAGGAAAAGTTCCGGTTACTAAATTTAAGAGCACTGGATAATTTCTTGATGTGCAATGATGTAAAAAACACGTGTCGCTCACTTACCCACTAAAGGCTCACCTGCGTGAGGATAGTCACGTCACTGTGGCTCTTTATGGAGGCCCAGAGGGGAGTAAGCTGCCCCCGCATCTCACCCAGCTGGCAAGTGGCAGGTCAGGGAGCCGACCAGGAACCTCGCTCCATAAGCCCTACCTTGTGCTGATTGTGGGTTTGAAACAAGGACCTTTTGGAAAGGGGAGGGTGGGGTCCTAGGATAGTAGTTTTGGATTTTCTCGAGTTATTTACACGTACATGTCCCCCCCACCCAATCAACTTGTTGTGAAAAGCATTTGCAGCTTTGGGATGCTGTGGCCCATGAGAGTCATGCCCCCTCCTGCCACCGTGTGCTGGGTGGGCCAGACCAGACACCCCCTATGCCTCCTAGCTGCTCCAGAGCCACAGTGTGTGTCCCCACTGTTTGACTTGGTGATTCCCCCAAACCAGCCCCAGCATCTGGGACCCACAGAAGTGTGTTATTTTTCCTCTGGTTCTATTAAGTATTTTTTTTTTTTAATGTTTATTTTTGAGAGAGAGAGAGACAGAGCATGAATGGTGGGGGAGGGGGAGAGAGAGAGGGAGACACAGAATCCGAAGCAGGCACCAGGTTCTGAGCTTCAGCACAGAACCCAACGTGGGGGCTGAACCCACAAGCTGTGAGATCATGACCTGAGCTGAAGTCGGAAGCCCAGCTGACTGAGCCACCCAGGTGCCCCTCTATTAAGTTTTTTTTTTGAGCAGAATACTTTCGTATGGTTCGAGATTCCAAAGGCTTTATGGTGAAAAGTTTACACACACACACTCATATATATATACAGGCAGAGGAACATACAGTACACATATACAGGCACACACGCATATTTATGGCCTAATTCACTTCACCAGCCCTTTTTGAAAGGGAATTCGGGTTGCTTCCAGTCTCTTACTAGCGTCAGCTGTGCTGCAGTGGGTAAGCTTGTCCCATGTGAAGTCAGGTCAGGGGTGAATATGAAGAATTCCAGTTATATCAGTACTTCAGTGCGACTACTGATAATTGGGTCAGTAGGAAATCTGAACCAGGCTCCCCACCCCCCCGCCCCAAGATTATTGGCATTCCTCACACGACTTATTCGTACACTCATCACCCCATTCCAGAAAGGAATGGAGAGCTGTTGGACTCTTCTGGTTGGAGACCACTGGAGGAAGCAGGTCAGGGAATGCTGACAACTAGCACCAACCACACCTTTGTGCCAGGAAATACTAAATAAGGGCTTTGGTAAGTTGACAGACTTCCCAAATCCTTAGGGAAAGGGCAGCAGCATGGAGGTCAGGGACTTCCTATTCTCCTCCCATAAACAGATGTCATATGGAGGGACAGGGAACCTAGGGCTCAGGCTAAATCATAGAGCCAGATCCGAGCCATTCCCGGTGAAGGATTCTGTTTGGATGGTGGTCTTGGGATGAGGTGACCTCCTTAGCTCACACCAGTAGACGGAAGAGGCGGGATGGGAACTTATAGCACCTATGGCGGGCAGCCAGCGTCCAGGCAGCCCCACCGCCCCTTCCTCCAGCGTCGGAGCCTGGTGCCCCCCAGATGGGCCAGGTGTCAGGCTGCGGCGACCTTGCTTCCTCCTTTCCCTCCTTTGGGGATCTGAGCTGACTTAGACTGGTGAGCGCGACTTCTATATACCCCTGCCTTTGAAGGCCTGATGTTTACCTACGCAGAACTTCACCTGCTTTGTGAACTCCAGGCCTCTGCAAACTTCATCAAACAGGCGAAGCCTGACCCAGCTGGCAAGTGGGAGGACTAGGTCTGCTGTCAGGAAGCTGGCCAGGAGCCTTGCCTTTTTAAGTTGTTTTTTTTTTTAAGACTTTATTTTTTAGAACAGACTTTATTATTTATTTGTTTTTTTAATTAAAAACTTTTTTTTAGTTTATTTATTTATTTTGAGAGAGAGAGAGAGAGAGAGAGAGAGGGAGGGAGCATGCACAAGCAGGGGAGGAGCAGAGAAAGAGGGAGGGAGAGAATCCCATGCAGGCTCCATGTCGTGAGTGCAGAGCCCGATGTGTGCTCAATCCCATGAACTGTGAGATCACGACCTGAGCTGACATCAAGAGTTAGATGCTCAACTGACTGCCACCCAGGCGCCCAACAGACTTTATTTTTTTAGGACACTTCAGATTTGCAGAAAAATTGAGAAGTGCATTTCTGCCAGCAGGCTTCCTGTATACCCCTCCTCCAATTTCCCCTATTATTAACATCTTACATTAGCATGATTTCATGTGTTACAGTGAGTGAACCAATATTGACACATAGGTATTAAAGTCCATAGTTCTTCACATTTCCTTAGCTTTTTCCTTAGTTTTAATATCTTTTTCTGTTCCAGGATAGCATATTACGTTTATGTTGTCGAACACTTGCGTTGACAAATAGGGTATTGTCGTGCTTCCTCAGGCCCCTTCTGATTGTGGCAGTTTTTGATGACCTTGACAGTTTTGAAGAATAGTGGGCAGGTCTATTAGAGATTGTCCCTCAATTGGGATTTGTCTTTCTCCTTATTAGACCAGGGTTATGTGTTTTTCAGAGGAAGAGCTCCGAGGTAGAGTGCCATTTTATCACATCGTCTGTAGGGTGCATGCTGTCCATGTGATTTACCACAGTCTATGTTAACCTTGGTCACCTGGCTTCATTACCTACTATTTGCCGGATTTCTGCACTGTCAGTTTGCTCTCTCCCTTTCTGTATTGAACTCTTTGAAGGGAAGTCACTCTGCACAGCCCACACCTAAGGAGTACAGGGCTTAGGCTTCACTGCCTTGAGGGCAAAGTACTGACACGAATTAGAAATAAACCTGGGAGGGCGCCTGGGTGGCTCAGTCTGTGGAGCGTCCAACTTCGGCTCAGGTCATGATCTCACAGTTCGTGAGTTCAAGCCCCACATCGGGCTGTGAGCTGTCAGCACAGAGCCTGCTTCATATCCTCTGTCCCCCTCTCTCTCTCTGCCCCTGCCCTGCTTGCGCTCTCTCTCAAAAAAAAAAAAAAAAAAAAAAAAAAAAAAAAAAAAAAAAGCTGGGAATTCTTCTGCAGGGAAGATGTGTCTCTTTTCTCTATTAACTTATTCAATCATGTATTTTCA